AATACCACTTGGTTAGTAGGTTTATGTAGCATCATCAAATACCACTTGGTTAGTAGGTTTATGTAGCATTTTCAAGCCTGAAAATACCACTTGGTTAGTAGGTTTATGATAATAATAAGATGATAAAACAGCTTTTGAAAGATATATAATTTATTGTATAAAACTATGATTTAAATATATATTAATAAAATTAATACACGCTAACTACATAAAATGTCCAGTTAGTTTTAATGCAATAAATATGTCATTATTAATGACAACTCTAACACACTTGTACTCACAGTAAGCTTGTAGCAATTGGATACCAATTTTTGTCATAGTTAGTAGCTTATGCAATCACTTAAATGTAATTAATAATTAGTAACTGATGATTAGACTTCGTGATTCTGTAGCCTACTAATCCTAGCCATTCTCAAACCTACTAACCCTAGCAATTCTATAGCCTACTAACCCTAGTGATTCTGTAGCCTACTAACCCTAGCAATTCTATAGCCTACTAACCCTAGCAATTCTGTAGCCTACTACTCTAGCAATTCTGTAGCCTACTAACCCTAGCAATTCTATAGCCTACTAATCCTAATGATTCTATAGTCTACTAACCCTAGCAATTCTATAGCCTTCTAACCCTAGCAATTCTGTAGCCTACTAACCCTAATGATTCTATAGCCTACTAACCCTAGTAATTCTGTAGCCTACTAACCCTAGCAATTCTGTAGCCTACTAACCCTAATGATTCTATAGCCTACTAACCCTAGCGATTCTATAGCCTACTAACCCTAGCGATTCTATAGCCTACTAATCCTAGCAATTCTATAGCCTACTAACCCTAGTGATTCTGTAGCCTACTAAGCCTAGTGATTCTATAGCCTACTAACTCTCATGATTTTATAGTCACTAACCATTACAATTATTTTTAAAATACATTAAACTTAACATTTTTCTTTAGTTACTTTAGCAGCTTATAGTTTTGCTACTTTTACTTGTGTCTTGACATGATATTTAAAGCTTTTCTCTTAGTTCAGTTTAGTTCATTACAAAAACTTCAGTGTGCATTCTCATTGTGATAATTCTCTTAAAGTATAATTTATTCAAAATACAATAACGGCAAGTTCTGTTTTGAATGATTACAAGATTTTGACTCATAGTATAAAGTCATCATGAGGTAGATCTTACCTTAAATTCTTCAGATACATATTTAATTTTTTATTGCAGCCCGTCTTGTTCTCCATGTGTGCTGGAAATGAACTTTTTTACAGCATGTTATACCTCATCTATTTCACTGAAGGACCCGCTAGTAAGCTCTGTTGTTTGAATATTGTCAGAAATGTATTATTCGCTGTCATTGTTGTATCCATTACCATTCAGAACTTTGAAAGCCAGAGGTGACATGAAAATAAACACAATAACAATAAAAACTAAATTATTTAATGGAATAGGTACTTAGTAATGAGAATTTGATTATTTTTATGTAAATGTTAGATTGATCAAAGTTACCAAGATATTCATTAATACCAACTGTTCGCATAACAAAGAGAATAAAAACCCGGAATCTTTGTTGAGTTAAACACGGAGGTGGAGAGGGATCATGATTTGAAGTTATAAACAGACTAGAGAACAGGAAGAGGAATACAGTGAATTAAAAGAATTCTACAAGAGCACGGTGTACTCTTCAGTATTAGACCAATGTGAAGTGGTCTAAGGCACACATCTAAACTGTGTGTAGGCTACGTTAAAATCGAGGAACAATAATGATCGGTGAATAATGTATGATGAAATTGATAAACGTGAAACCTATGATGGCACGTAATGTAAAAATGACTGTAGTAATACATTCATAGAGTGTAGAATGCTGTAACAACGGTATGCTTTGGTAAGCTAAATGATCGAGTGCTGTGAAAAGGCAAAACCGTGATTAAAGCCAAAGATGTCTATTTTCACTAATGCAATGATTACATGAGATTATGATTTCATGTGAATGAGTTCAGTTATTGATATTATAACCGATACTTTAAACTATAAGTGCCTTTTTGTGTTGTAAATGTGTTTGTTTCCAAACTTCTGGATGGCAATGTTGAAGAAAATCTATAGTTTCTAAAATTGCTGATGTTAGGTGTTTAAGTAAGTGTTATACTTTGGCCCTATATTATAGATATGCCAAAATTTAGCAAAAGCTTTTGTATAGTTAAATATATAGTTCTTGATAAATGTTTTTGTCAAATATGCCAGGTTTTAGATAGTTAAGAATGAAAGTTTGGTCACACGTAAGTTCTAGTTTTTGTTTTACAAATTTAGTGAACTTCCACAACAGCATACAAGATTGGGTATTGATCTATGATTGATTTATAGTAAATTTTGCCCCAAGTGGTATAGTATTGGGTTTGATGACTTATAATATTAACAACTGGGTTTCAATACTCGTGGTGGGCACAGTACAGATAGCCCATTGTGTAGCTTTGTGTTTAATGACAAATAGCCAAAATCGTTAAATTCAGTTGTTAAATACATTATAAACAGTTTGATGTGTAGGTTCTATAAAGTGAAAAGATACAATCCCACCCACTAATGTCGATTATAATACATGGTCTGTAATGTTGATTATATTACATGTTCTGTAATGATGATTATAATACATGGTCTGTAGTGTTGATTATATTACATGGTCTGTAATGTTGATTATATTACATGTTCTGTAATGATGATTATAATACATGGTCTGTAGTGTTGATTATATTACATGGTCTGTAATGTTGATTATATTACATGGTCTGTAATGTTGATTATATTACATGGTCTGTAATGTTGATTATATTACATGGTCTGTAATGTTGATTATATT